GTTTGCTTTATTAAAAATCCCATCACAGAAATGTGATATGTGAAAGGCCTAAGCTTCCTCGAAATTCATGTCTGACCTGTGACCCAGCGGCAATCATGACAGTGTGGCGTGGTAGTTAACGTGATGAGTTGGTTCGAGTCCCGCTGGGGGTGCTGGTGGGATTCAGACAAGGCGAGGTCGAAACTGCAGTTCAATCCGGACGGTATGAGAATACCTTTTGGGTCATGCAGAAAACCATGTAAAATTCAATGGAAACTGCATGTTGAATTTTACTAAAATCTAGTGGTAGCCCCGAAAGCCTAGCTATGGATGGAAAATAAGTAATGTAGTCGAAAAAGTGATATAGAAAAAGAATGGCCTTTCTTGAAATTCACTTCTGGCCTGTGACCCAAAGGTACGATTGGTAGCCTGGCGTAATGGCAAACGTGTCGAGACTATACGCTGCACAACTCCAACTCGAATTCGGGAATCCCTGGGACAGGACACTGACGAGACCAGCTCAGGCGAGGTCAAAATTGTGGCCAACTCAAGCTAGGATGAGAATATCTTTTAGAAAGCAAGGCCATGTGAAATTCAATAGAGACGTGCGGCCTAGTAATATAATTGTGGAAAATTTCAAATACCAGCCCTTAATCACCTGAAACGAATTTGAATGAACAAAGTCTTTATATGTAATGCCAACTCATCTGATTCTGTGAAGGATTCTAATATCAGTCCTTCCTCACCCTATATAACCTAAGATGAATACAACCCTCAATCAAGATATAGTGGTAGTTTAACACTATATTTAATATGAATATAATAGGTTTTATTTAGTAACTTTCAAGAGGCTGACTATGGTTGGGGCATACCAGTTTCGACTGGTCTCTTCGTCATAATGAATCAAAAGAATGCCCATTTTTGCCATGGATTTCACTTTATAATACATCTTAAAAGGACAGTAGCATCTGCAGCCTAGGCTGTGTTTTAACCTCGACCTAGCGAGATTCCGATTGTGAATTTGCGAGTTAAAAGGCACAAGTGCTGGCCCCTGGGTCGCATGACCCTAGACCAAATGAGCAAAGAAGAAGGCATGATTCTCAAGGCAAGACAAACTTTTTTCGACTAGCATGGCTTCATGTGCATTTATGTGCAGATACGCTAATAGTTGACGCAATAAGTAATATGGTCCAAAGCTCGAATCTCGCTGGGGGTGCCATCCAGGGTAAAGAGAAAACCAAAGAAACTGGTACAATTCGAGAACAATCAGCCACTTGATGGCTTCAAACAAAAACTGCTATCGACAAATGCTGACCTGAAAATAGACCCAGGGAGCCAGGCTAACAACGGCAATTTAAAAGAAAATTTAAATTTCAAGCTAACAAAAAGTATTTCCTTCTGAAGTAAACTAAACCTGGAACATCGACAAGATTTAAGCCAAAATTCTATACAGATAACTACCGATAAAAAAACGAAAAGTTCTAGCGTTTCAAAAAAGCTTGATGTCCAATCGCCGAAATTGTTTGGGAATCCTACTTTCAACCTCCATACACTCACCTCTCACTAAATCGTCAAATTTCTGTCTATAAGTGAAACGCCAAGAAGTAGCGTAAACTATCTAATAAGTCAGTTTCAGGATAATTTTCCCAACATTACATATATGAGAATGTTTTTAAAGTGTCATGGGAATAAAATTTTCGTTTTCTTTCAGTAGGGTTTCGAAGCAAACTCTATATCTTGAATAAGAACATTGTCTATCCCATTTTGTTTAAGGTGGTAAAGGATTGGTAGTCGAATTTTGTCACAATATCATGAAAAAGGCATTCTCATCTTGTCCAGAATGGACTGCAATTTCGACATCATCCCAACGGGTCGAATCAACCGCTCCAGCGGGACTGGAATTGGAGAAGTGCAGTGTATAGTCTCGACACGTTAGCCGCCACACCACAGCCACGAGTGCCCCTGGGCCACATGACAAAATGAGTTCAAGGAAGGCCGGGCTTTTACCATCGGTTGGCGAGATTGTCGATGAAGCAAAAATACATTTACTATAGAACTTGACTATATAACTTTGTTCTTGTTTTTAAGTAGCTTTTAGAGACCGGTGCTGTAGTCTAACCACTGTTTCTGTCTGTCTCATTGCGACTTGGACTGTGTAGATGTGGCGACTGCCACAATTTCCAACAGGCAAGGCCAGGGGCTCATAATCGGTGGTTCACACCAATGAGGTTGCCAGGTCTGGTTACAAATTCAGGAAACAGGTGACAGGAGGAAATGATAATAAAGTTGGAAATAAGTGAAACATGTTTCCTCAAATTCATGATGGCTGACATCCTCTTTAAACTATGAGACGAGCTGTGCATAGCTAGACTATGGTATGGCCAGATAGTAGTCCTTCAGAGGCGAAGCAAAGCAAAGCTTCTCGCCCAGACGTTGAAAGACCATTCCTTCAAGCTAAAGAAACGATTTTTAACGTAGATTCGATGAGTGCCGACCCTATGAGATGAGACAGCTAACTAGCCTAAATAGACACAAGACGCCAACCAACGGTGGCTTTTCAAGTTAAACAAATCGGTCACGTGTGAAATGAGGCAAGTGTGGGACTGCAGATTGCCGGAAATCAGACTCAGACAGATAATAGAGAAATAAAATGAAACAATTACAAAATGTGACTAACCAAACTTTCACCATCCTCTTCCTCCTCCGAGATGGTCTGCTCCAATGAGTGTGGGAAGTCGATGGACTGAAAATAAAGAAAGCAAAGTTTAGAAAGAAAGTCCAAAGACATAAAATAAAAGAAAAGCGAGCGCGGTTGAGATTTTCATTTAAGATCTACCGAGTCTTGAAATCTACTTAGCACGAATACGCTGAATGAGCATTGTGGAGCCTGCTGATCTAATTGTGGGAAATTCAACTCTCAGTCTTTATGCGAGAAAAAAAAGATGGGTTACAAGGACTTACTTGGTATATACTTGTTGACCTCACTTCCAAGTCGAATAAAAGTGCTCTGTATTATTGTCGAGCCAATGCGAAGACGAGTACGGATTCCTCTTGACCAGCTGTCGATTGGCTTTACTAGATCATTATTGTTGAAGGTGTTTCCGAGGCAATATTCTTCGATTCCGATGAAAACGTGCCAAACTATCGATCGTCGTATGACAGACATCATCAGAGTGGATGGCATCATCATTTCAACCATATTCAAGCTAACGAGTAAAGGTAACTTGACTCTATTTACCAAACACTTCCACTCGAATGGGAGGTATGCTCAACAATTATCAGTAAAATGAGATGCATTCACTTAAGATGATGAAGGATTGTTAGATGTATTTTCCCACAATGATATGAATAGAACTGACGTTTACGTCAACTTTCACATAAGGTTGCTTTTCTAAAAAGTTTTCTCATCCAGGTTGGACCGCAGTTTTGGCCCCACCTAGATCTTCACATCTGCCATGTAACCCAGGGACACCTGTGGCAATGTGGCGAGGTGGTTAATGTGTCAAGATTACACGCCGAACTGTCGTGGTTCGACTTCAGCTAGGGTTTTCCACTCTGGATGAGAACACTTTTTTGAGAAAGCAAGGCTATGTGAAATTGAATGGAAACGTCAGCTCTACTCATATAAGTGTGGGACAATTCAACTATTAGTCCTTCATTAGCTTAAACGAAATAGGATGAATACATCTCATATAACTGATTTACTGATAGTCTTGAAGCTCTACTAATAAACAACAACTATCAGTCTTTACATCGCCTTAAGCGGCCTAGGCTACCTAAAGTTCCTATAAAAGATCCTTTGTTTGGAGTGAATAAATTTCTTCCTCTATTGCATTTAAGAGTAAATATGTTTTGTATTAAATCAAAGAATTGGAAGGTGAAGGAAGTGAGCATTTTGATGGATGCTTTAACAAAGTTACGAGAAGATAGGATCAATTACCAAGCTCGGATCACCCTTGTTCCAACGGTCTTCAAAGGTTCGAGCCTTCTCGAGGAACTCCTCGTCTTGCGCAAGAATCTCCTCATCATTAACGGGCGGGTCTTTTCGTGTAAGCCAGTCGTCATCATCGCTGCTCTCTTTCTCATCTTTTTTCTTAGTTGTCAACGCTTCTTTGGACTCAGCGACTTGGCCACAGAAAACAGGTGTTAACACATCAACCTGTCACAAAAAAGGAGAGAGTATAAGTGGGGTAATCCGAATTCCTAAGATATACTGCAGTTTGATGTTAGAAATATTTATGTTCCCAGGGTGTCTAAAATAAGATTTCTTAGGTAATGCGACTCAGTTTTGACTGTTTTTTCTATTGAAATGATAGTGGCTCTGTCTACGAGGAATAGAAGAGAGGGCTTGATTGCTCCATTGAATTGAACTTCGACTTGCATTCTAAAAGCCTGCTTCCACTTCTCGCATCATCGTCTTATCGACAC